TGCTACCGCGAGCTCTGTGTCTTCGACCGCAAGAGCTCAGGGCCACTGCTTGAGCTCAGCTCTTGGCCCTTTTACTTCCCTGGCTATTGCCGGAAAGCGCAGGGCGTCAAATGACGCGAGACGTCCTAATTTTTTTGATCAAAAGCGTCCACGGCGACTGGGGAAATCTTGCCGAAGTGGCGCCTCAAACTCCCACGGGTTTTCGGAGTCGGGATATCCCCGCCACTTCACCAGATATTGGGTTTGACCCTGGCGACGACGTCGTCCCACAAGACGTTCCACGTGATAGTGGACGTCACCGCTCGCATCGAGAAGTTCCGGCGGCGGGCGGTGATGACCGGGTCGACCGCCGTCCGGTGACTCGTGCTGCTCTTCGAGCCCTTGAAGACGAGGTCCTTCGTGATCGGAGATCCGCTGACCGTCATGCTGAAGTAGCATATCGCTGTGCGAACGCTCTTGACGATTAAAAGCACGTCGTGCGCCGGCTGCCTCGCCATGAGGACTACCGCGCTCTGTCGGAGCGACTCCTAGCAGTGGAGCAGGCGAATGCGTCGCTGCATGCAACGGTGGAGCGCGTGGAGCCATTAGAGATGGAGGTTGTTGCACTCCGTGCTCAGAACAAATTGCTGGTTCAACTTCTGGGTGGCCGAGGGCCCGTGGGATCCACTCCGGCGCCAACGCTTCCCCCTTCACTTGCGCCGGAACCCGGTACGGCTTGAGCAAGCCCACGTATAACACTGGGTGGGTGCGCATCCGTTTCGGAAGGTTCAGCGTATACGCTAGGCCCCGCTTGGCCACAACCTTAAACGGTCCGATAAAACCGTGGACGAAGCTTCACCCGGAAGATAGCAGAGGCTGCATGTGTAAACAGGATTTTTGAATTTAATAAAACCAGGTCCCCGACCTTAAAGCTTTCCACTTTGCCTCTTCCTTTATCATCTGCATATTCTTTTTGCAGGCCTTGGCTTTCAGCCATCGCATCGCAAACGTGTCGTAGACAAGAAGTCTTCGACTTCTTCACGGATGGTAAGGGGCTGACATCAGCTAGCCA